CACACACAAAAACCATATGTATTACTGTAGTCTCACTTTGTCTCACTGATTCACGGAGCCTCCCTTTGTCTGAGGAGAAAGTATGTATCACCACCGTGGTTCTGATTTACTGCACTGACTAACCCGCATACCTTGTTTCACATTCCTTCCCATTCCCTCAGGCCTTCTTTGCATCTAGTTTGCCAGGGTGTTTTTGTTTATTTTGCAAGAATAGAAAAACAGTGGTTTGGGCTCCTGAGTAAATAAAATTTTCAGCCTTAAATAAAGGTCCTCCTGTGATAGCATACACTCACTGCCCAAATGAAAGGAGCTCTGTATCCCGGCCTGAGGAAAGAATTTTTTATTTATAACGCCGGCTGTGTCACTTGGGACAGAATGATGTGAAATCCCATTTTAAACCGATAGCGCTCCGGATTTGCAAGGTACATTTGGTAATTGGGTTAATGCATGAATATGAATTTCCTTATCCCCACCCTTGTGCTTTCTATGCTAACAGAGTTTCTGCCTTCGCTTTTTGCAGTGGCCTCCATGTGTATAGACTGTGTTCAATTTCAGTCATGCAGTTATTTCCTTGGGCCGAAACTCAGCATTGTAGATACATATATGTGGGACTAATAAACAACCTGTAATAACGTACCGAGGCACACAGCACAGGATAATTAGAATTATTAAAATAACCCCAAAAGGACGTGTTCGTGGTACCACTGGCTATGAAAACTAGAAAGGACCCTAAAATTCATCTGGTCCCACCTTTCCCAAATTATCGAAACACTAAAATCCCACAAATGCATGGGAGTTTCACTATGAAAAACAGTAAGACTATGTTCTGAGGACAAGTTTGGGGTAGTCCTGCCTTTCTTTCTTCTGTTGGAAATCCGTGAGTGCGGGCAAGCCTCGGCAGCCATACTTTCTGTACATCCCTCATGTGCAGCCTCTTTTCTCCATTCCTCCTGTCACCTCCCAATCCAGGCCACCACCATCTCCTACCGGGACCACTGTAATGGCCTCCCCAGCCCCTCCTGGCCCCTGCCATCCATCCTCCACATAGGAGCCAGAGCAGTTTTGTATGTGTGCACATCTGGTCATATTATTTCCCTGTCCAAACTCCTTCCAAGAGACACCACTAAGAAAACGGAAGACGAGTTGGAGAACCCATCTGCAAAATGGATATCTAATAAACGATTTGTGTCCGGAATATGTATAAAACCCTAACGATTCAAAAAAGAAGAAGAAAACTAAAACCCAATTAGAAAATGATCCACCAAAGATTTGACTGGACACGTGCAGCAGGACTGTCGTTGCTCTTCAGAAAAGCCTGCTCGTAGGGTGGCCCTTGCCTGGCATCTGAGAACTGGCTTTTGGAGTTATGCCTATGCTTCTTACTGATAAGGCTGTTTTATCTGCCTGGGGCACTGAATCCTGCTGCACCAGCTTGCCTAGACTCTTTGTACAAACAGCGTGATTTATAATGAACACCTGTTCTCCTTCTAGGAGTCTGGAATTTCAGTAGTCATGGCTGGTCATGCAGGCAGAGTGCCTCCATCACCAACCCACGATAAAAAACCCTGGGTTTTGAGTCTCAAGCAGGCTTCGGTGGGCAGCATCAATGCATCAGGTTGCTGCATTTCACTGATGGAGGAAGATGCGTGCTCTGTACAGGCCCCCACCCCCGGGGGGAGAACCTGGGAAGCCTTCAGCTGGACTCCTCCAGACTCCACCTGACACGTCTTTTCCCCTGGCTAGTCCTGCTGTGGGTCCTGCTGCTGTGATAACTCATTGCCATAAGTAGAAATAACTGCCTCTGAGTCCTGTGACTCCTTCAGATGAGTCACCAAATGTGCAATACCAGAAACAAGACACTTCACCGGAGAAGATACACGAAGCACAAAGAAACACATGAAGCCATGCTCAGTACCATCAGTCTTTAGAGAACCACAAGATATCACTAGAGTGGTTAAAAGCGGTCCAGAGGCAGAAAGTAGACCAGTGGTTGCCTGAGGCTCGGGGTGGGCACAGGGTACTTTTGGGGGTGGTAACAATGTTCTAAAACTATATTGTGTTGATGGTTGCACAACTATATACATTTACTAAAAGCTCATCAAACTATGCTCAAAATAGGTCAATTCTGTGGTATATAAATTATATCTCAACAAAAGTGTTTTTAAAACACTTTCCTTGGCTCGCCTTTGGAGTGAAGACCTGCTTACCCCCCACCCCCACCCCCTCCCCGGTCTACTCCGCCCCTTCATCCCCTGCCCCCCTGAGTCCCTAGTTTCCCAGCTTCTTCTCTCTCTGCTTCAGCCGCAGGGCCTTTTTTCAGTTTCTCATACCCCCCTTTCTCTTTCTCATCAGTGCTTTTGCATATGCCGTTCCCTTTTCCGGGCATGCTCTATCTCTTCTCCCCTTTCTTAGGCCGATTCCCATTTTTTCGGTTTTCCCTCCTCCAGTCACTTTTCCAGGAAGGCCTGTCTGAGTTCCAATTCAGTTCAACTCGTCCACTGTACTCCTAGCTCCCTGCCCTTCTCTTGTAAGAGATTTTCATCACTCTTGAAATTACTGATTCAGTGGTGACTCAAAGTTCCCCGAAAGAAAACATTTGTCTTTTCTTTTTTACGATTACAGTTGGCATACAATATTATCTTAGTGTCAGGTGTACAGTATGGTGGTCGGACATTTCTATAACTCCTGAAGTGATCCCCCCAATTAGTCTAGTACCCACCTGACTCCATATATAGTTATTACAATATTATGGTATATTCTCCATGCCTTGTTTTACATCCTCATGACTATTTTGTAACTACCAATTTGTACTTCCGAATCCCTTCACCTTTTTCACCCAAACCCCACTGTTCCCATCTGGCAACCATGGGTTCGTTCTCTGAATCTATGAGTTTGTTTCTGTTGTGTTTGTTTGTTTAGTTTTTTCGGAGTCCGCATGTAAGTGAGGTCATCATATTTGTCTTTCTCTGTCTGACTTATTTCACTTAGCATAATACCTACTAGATCCATCCATGTTATCGCAAATGATCAGATTTCGTTCTTTTTACGGCTGAGTTATATTCCTTTGTACCACCTCGTCTTTATCCGTTGTCTTTAGACGGACACTTAAGTTGCTTCCATACTGTAGCTTTTACTAGTAATGCTGCAGTGAACATAGGCTTTGAATTAGTGTTTTGGATAAATATCCAGAAGTGGGATTGCTAGGTCATATGTTAGTCTTATTTTTAATTTTTTGAAAAACTTGCATCCTGTTTTCCATAGTGGTTGCACTAATATTCAATCCCACCAACAATATATGAGAGTTCCCTCTTCTTCACATCCTTGCCAGCACTTGTTCTTTGATTTATGGATGATATCCATTCTGACAGGTGTGAGATGATATCTCAGTCAGTGTGGTTTTAATTTGCATTGTAAGGATTTGTCTTCGTCATTGCTTTTTCCCCAACGCAACTCTTGGCCCGATAAATACTTCCTAAAATAATATATGAATAAACATCTTAATAGCTCTGAGAAACCCATGATAAACATACCTGTTTAACCTTATATAAATCAGTGTTTTTGAAGCATGTTTACACACAGAATCTTTTTTATACAGATACATTAATAATATGTAGACTACAGTATAGAGGAGCAGTTTAGGAAGTTCTTATCTGAAGTTTTCTTCCTAATTTTTTGATGCTACAAACAATGCTACAATAAACATCCCTGTACATCAGCCCTTACAAACTGCTGCTCTTGTGGGATAGACTCCCAGGAGTCATGGTGCTGGGCCAAATGGTATGTGCCAAATGGTATGTGTGCTTTTTATCCTAATCAATGTTACACGCCAGATTGTAGACACTAGATTTTTAAGTAAATTGAATTTTTTGTTAAAAATAATTTTTTTAAAGGAGAATCTCGTAGAGCTGCTGAAATTCTCATTTCCTTATTCTCTTTCAGCAAGTCGCCTTCATTATCTTTTATACGAGCCAAAGCAATATCTGTCTCATTATTTTAATAGATAATTTGTGATGAATTTCAGGAACTCACTCGCCGCAGGGAGACACAGAAATCTGTAGGCAAACGTCGTTCCCGGTGGGCACAATAGTAAAGGATTCCTTTTTCATTTGGGTAAACAGGAACTCGTCAAACTAAACCTAATAGGAGAGATGGGAGCACCGGTGTCATAAGATGTTAGCGATGGGAAGGACCCAAGGATAGGACATAAATACAGGGTTCACAAGAAACTGGAAAGAAGAAATTGAAGCGCCCGCCCCCAACCCCTCCCTCCCTCTCCTCTTCCTCCTCCCTGTCTTCCTCTTCCTCTCTCTCTCTCTCTTTCTCCCTCCGTGCCCCCACTTCCCAGCCTGGTTTCTGCACTCCTCAGCCACTGCTCATCACCACACCTGTGCCCACATAACCTCCCACCGTAACCCATCGCAATGTCACAATTACAGATGCCCCTGGATGGACTTGTCCACCTAGTCAATGTGACAGCGACATGTCTGTAAAGATGGGGTGGACAGGAAGGAAGGACGTGATAGGCACTTTCAATGCTCAGGTACGTGCCCACAAAATCACGAGGTACCCCAGCAGTGTGTATATACCCTCTTGTTCCTGCTTTGTGCAGGAGGCAGCGCAATGGTAGAAGCAGTGTGCCCCTAGAGGGAGAAAGGGAAGGATGGGCGGGATGGCACCTGAGTGTCAGTCACTTCGGTTCTATTCCTCTGTCCACGGTGGGCAGATGGACCTGAGCCAAGGGTGGGTTGGGCAGGAACTAGAGGGAGTTCCTCCTGGGACCACAGGTAGCATGTGCTTGGAGTGAATGTGGGTCTGGGGGAGCCCGGCTTCCATAGGAAAGGGCAGGGTAAATGGACTGCAACTGGACTGGTGGGCCAGTCACCTTCACCCTGATCCTGCGGCGGGGCCAGGGTCTTCCTGAGAAGCTGCATCGAACACAAGAACACAGAGCGTCGAGCTAGGTCCCGGTCCTCCACAGCAGCTCCAGAGCCTTGTCTCAATTCTCACAACCCCTGGGAGCCCTAACTTGCCAAAACTCAACAGCTTTTTGGAAGAAGGACAGAAAATCTGTACAAATGGACGTTTGTGCGGCGTGGAATTCCCTCTCATCCCAAGAGGTGGTGTCATCTAGAGACCAGTCCTTCCTAACCTCTGCCCCATTGTCCTCCCATCAGAGCTGGGGAGAGCCTCTCCTCTGTGCTCCTACAGCCCAGCGTGTCCCTCCATCAAGCCCCAGGCACCTTGCCCATTTCCGTGGCTGTCTTCCCAACATGACTATGCACCCCATAAGGACAGGGAGGGGCTCTGTCGGAATCGACTCAGTGCCCCACAGAGTAAGCGTCCGGATGGCCTGGCATCCTTCCCCCTTCCTAACATACCTGAGATCCTTTTGAGGACGTCTCTTCGTCACTGGATTCAATCTTGTAAGGCATACCCAGATACTCACGCCCCTAAATTTCAGTTTAGAATGCAATGACAATTAAAAATGGCTATTGTCAGTCTACGGCCATGCTACCCTGAACAAGCCTGATCCCGTTTGGTCTCAGAAGCTAAGCAGGGTTGGGCCTGGTTAGTACTTGGATGGGAGACCACCTAGGAAGACCAGGTGCTGTAGGCGTAAAAAATAAAAAAAATAAGGGAGTATAAGCTGACAAGGTCCTTGCAATCTGTGAGGTCAACCAAGGGTGGCCTCACCTAAAATAAAAAAAATAAATAAAATAATTTTAAAAATGGATACTGCTTGTTGTGTGGCGGCCGTGTCCTAACCAGTTCCCAGTATGAGGTCCCACTTGTTTTTCTTATTTCCTTTTCTCCCCCAAATTCTGTGAGTCCCTGGTAATCCTTCCAGTAAATTTTCTTATTTTAAGTTCTCCAGAATTTTCCTCTGATGTTGCTTACAACTGAGAGAGAGGGAGACAGACAGAGGGAGAGTGCTGGGGAGGAGAAGGGAGGAAGAAAGGGGAGAGAGAAAGAAGAAGGAGGAAGAGGAATAAGGTGGCAGGGAAGAAAGAAGAAAGGAAGGAAAACTAACTCAAACACTCAGTGAGTGAATGAGTGAGACAAGACCACCATCTAGCTGGAGAGTCTGCAGGGCAGTAGTAGACAATGGTGATGGTGGCCATGATGAGCAATATACTTGCCCGGAATAGCCGGGCCAAGCCCAGACAGTCACATCTGTATTAACACTGGACCACCCGTGGACTTGATCTTAGAAAATTCCCTTAGCTCTCACAAATGTCATTGGGCTCACGGTGTCCTCTCCCATTATAGTGGTGGCTGACAACCACTGAGCACCTGCTGATAGAGGCAGGGAAGCCAAGGCGCCGCCCTCAGGTTGCTCCCAGGCTTCAGGACAGCTGCTGCATCCAGTGTACACCCAGCAATCCTCCAGCGCTAGGGTCAGGGAACAGGAAAGGGGTCAGGACAACTGAGCAATAAAGATGCCAGGGGTCAGGTCTTCAAACTGCAAGGATCATCTGGAAGGAAGAAGACATGTAGATGGATGTGTGTCCTAAGGTGGCAAGCAGCTTGACTGAATTTCTGTATAGCTTTCGGAGGATGGAGTACATCTGTCCTTCACCCCCTTCCAAGACAGATCTTCCTAGAGTATCTTTATATTGTGTGATGCTGTCACTCTGGTGTCAAAAACATTCAACCTCCTCCCATCACCGCAAAGAGAAAGTCTCTTCTCAGGCAGCATTGGCGCATCTGAGTCCAGCCACTCTCTTTTGCTCTGGTCTGTTCTCTGATTGCGCACCCATGAACGCTCCCCTCCAGACAGCTTGAGATCTCCAACCATGGGTTCCTGCCTCCCAACTTTGGCCATTTCTCGAACCCGAAATGCCCTCTCCTCTCTTCTCAGCCTCTCAGAACATGTCATTCCTCAGACACTCTCAAGCTCCGAGCTTTACAGCAAGTCACCCTTCCCCACTCTGGTCCACAGGGACGGCCCCTCCTTCCATCTCAGGGCTCATGTTGGCATCACTTTGTAGGAGATGACTGAGGCTGGCAAGGGAGTTCTCTGTCTCTCTGAATCAGAAAAAATCAGAGAGTCGACGAAGAGAAATCCATTCAAATGTCCTAACCTGGAAAGACTGGACTGGACTCCAGGCGGTTGGGGTAGGCAGATTTCCAGACCAACTCTGATCTCCAGCCAAGGAAGCAACCCAAAGACATGACTCTGCAGAAAAGCAATAACAGAAAAAGGCGCAGGATCTGAGACTCACATAGAACTGGAGGAGAATCATGGGTTTTTTTTCTTTTTTTTTAAGTTAAAACTGTGTGACCTTGAGCTAATTACTTAATCTCTCAAAACTTCATTGTTTTTACCCATATAAGACTGATAAGAATACCTACTCCACAGTGTGGTTCAAGAGTTAAATTAGATAATGTTCATCACATGAACACTTAAACAGTGACTGGGATCATTATCGTCATCTTCATCAGGCTGCTCTTTTTTGCTGCTCCTTGAGGCTCATCACCATCTATTCTGACCCTGTCACATCTTGTCTAGGGCCACTCCACATCCACTTACTACTCTTCTAAGAAAAATAAAGGCAAGGGCCTTGGCAAGGGCCCTGGGAGCCTAAGTGCAGATAAAATCCTTTTAAGTGGAGATAGGCAGGAAACTAGAATTTATTGAGGATGTGTGTGCCAAACTCCCCAAAACCACCCTATGGAGTGATGGCTCAGAGACATTAAGTGACTCGCCCAAGATCACACAGCTGGGAAATGGCAGGCCTAGGATTCAAAATCAATCTGACTCTAAAACCCAGCTCTGATCATTCCACTGGACTCCATCAATCCAGAGGCAGCAAGCAGGGCGGAGCAGGGGAAAAGGTCAACAATGAGAAGGGTGTTTACAAAGATTATCATAATGTTATTTGGAATGCGTCCTCTGTCCCCGAATCAATGAGATCCTGGCCTATTTCCTCCCTTTTTGGAAACACAAATACTCCATGAGCTGCCTAAAAAGTGAATTTACTTTTCACTGCTTCTAAAGAGACAGGACATAAACTGAGGCCTGAGACCAGCCCTGAACTGAACAGGGGATCTTGGCCCGATCTACCCCTGCAATCCTCCCCTCCGAGGCCGCCTCTCCCTCCTCATGGGACAGCAGGAGCCCTGATCTGTATTCACTCGCGGGTCTCTGGGAAGCCCTCAAAGGACTCAGCCACGTGCTTCCTGGAAATCAATGTGTGTTTGACCAGCTGCTTCTCTCTCATCTCTTCATTGTATAGTTCCTCCCCAGGAGTGCAAAAACATTGCTCTGGTAAGATTTGTTCTTTTTTAAATCTGGCTGGAGCCTCACGAAGGTACATTAATCTTTAACTGTTTATAGATTTTTCTACTTAGAATATATGCCCTGTGCTTTCATTTCATATGGGGATTCGAGTTCTGCTTCCATATTGATGAGGACTTAGGAGACTTATTTCCTCTCTGGGATTTTCTCCTGTGGGCTTATTTATCAGATCCAGCTTGCCAAGATCCCCGTAGATCTTTGCCTCATTCAGGAGACAACTGGTGGTTAAAACCTTGAGCTTTAAGGTCAGACAGAGCCAGGCACAAATTCAGTCCCCAGCCCCACCACTCCACCCATGGGACCTCAAGCAAGTCACGAAACCTCTCTAAACCACATTCTCTTCTGAAAATGAAGACCCCATGGAGTCATATCTTACCCAGGGTTTTATAATCAGCACAAAGCCCATATGTGCTCATAACAATTACTTTTGAAGAGCTTAAATCCGTGCAAGGATTCTTGTCTCCTAACCCCACCACTCCAGCCCTCACCCTCTTCCAATCTCCACCCCGCTCCCAAGGGCAGCCGCCTGCCTGCTCTTTCTCTGTCCACAAGGTCAGCCTTTCAGGGCCATCTCCAATCCTCCCTCCACCCAGCACCTCTGACCGGCTCCGTAAGACAGCCCAGGGGATAGTACGCAAAACCACAATCTTCCTTAAAAGGCGAGAAAGTGGAGAAAGTTATGAATACATGTGGTTCATACTTTTCCAAATTGACTATTACTAGCCAAAAATATTTTTTAAAGAGTCTTTTCAAAGTGTAAACACAAAATTGATAAATCTTCACAAAAAAAAGATAAATCTTCTGTTAAGTCTCAAATCCCCAAGGCCCAAACACCAAGTACTTGAGAAAGACTGCTCAAGAGAAGTGATAAGAAAAATAAATACATACATACATTGGCTACCTCTACCCAGCCACTGCACTGGCCCAACGGGCCTACTGAAAACAAAGCCAACGCCATGTGGGTCAGAATCCGCTTACACTCGTCTTCTATCTAAAACTTGGCAAAGGCTGCTTGTGCTGCCCTGCCCCTCAGATAACCTGCCCCCACCTCCCACTTTAGTACTTTTGTGGGCACGCCCCAAGGAAGGTGTGCCGACTGGCCACCAGTAGGCAGATAAATTATATTGACCTTCCCACCTTTTAGTGACTCTGGTATAACGTAGTTGGTAATGGCATCTCACTTGAAGATTCCTTTAGTAACTGCTTCTGACCAAAAACCATTCCCACATCACGGTCATGACATGGCAGGGCATCATGACATCTCCAGTCTTCCATCTGCTGTATCTTCTGTAGGATAAAGTGGCCATTGAAAGACTGAAATCAGACTGAAACATAAAGACCGACTTCTGATTTCCTAGCAGCTGTGCCACTACACAAGATGCTGTCTCTCAGCTGGACTAATGCCCTGGGGGACCATTCTGTGAGGTGTTTGTAACGCCACCAAAATTCTCCTGATCCTGTCACCTGGGTTGGTAGCCCTCTGATCTATAAGGTCTTCACACCTGTATTGGGCTGTCAGGTCGAGAGATATCCAGCACAATCACCTCCCTGGCATAGCCTTGGATCGTGCATGGGCTTCTACCAGCTGATGGGTAATCCCCCCACCCTGACATCTATGCCTGCCCCCTAGAAATCACAAGATGCCACAGGACCCAGACTTTGTTGTCCAAGAGGCATTGTCCTTGCAAATAGATGTCTATGGAGCCACGATTTGGGAAAATTGGGACCCATGTATTTTTGCAGAAGGATGTAAGACTGGGAAAATAGGCCGTGGTAGATAAAGTGAAGGGTGTTCTGCTCTTCATGAAACCGCCACGACTAACCACGTCTTGTCGAGTGTCCTGGCCCACACCCTCACTGGGCAAGATCCCTGCCAGGCCTCACCTTTTGAAAAAAAAAAGGTGCTCAAGCCATCCGGCAGCACCTCTGGTTAGTCACATCACCCTGTGGCTGGAGTAGCAGGAAAGCATTTGAAAAATGACCCTCGTACCCAAAACTGGGCCCTGGCATGACACGATAGGAAGGCCTCCTAAGAAGGTAGACAGTTATGGCTGCCCAGGGGGTACCTCCCATCTTCCCAGACCCTGGGGGACCCTGCTCTCCTTGGAGCCCTGAGCCTAACATTGGTACATTGAGTATTCATTCACATGAGGTAACATGCAGGATTAAGGACCGCAGACGGAGTTTATAAACACGATTTAATAAAACACACCCTTAAGTCATATCTGTGCTCAGCACTTCCACCCCATTCCGATGGTTATTCAGATATAGAGGAGATCTATCGGAGTTTTTATAATTCTGGCTAAATAAGAAAAACGACTGCTCAGCTTCTTGGTACCAAAACCCTCCCCAAATGCAAATGCAAACTACCCTGAGATATCCTTTTTCACCTAGCAGAAATCCAAGAGTTTGACAACATAATCTGTTAGTGAGAAGACAGACACTTTCATGCATTGCTTCTGGGAAGGCGAAATGGTACAATCCTAGGAAGGAAAATTGGGCAAAAGTATGTCAAGTATTTGCCCTTTGACACGGCAATCTCATCTCTAGGAATCTATCCATAAAATGCACTCAAAAAAATATAAAAAGACTTAACTTGCTCATTGCAGCACCATTTGTTACATTGAAAGACTGGAAACAACCCATGTGTCCATCAGGAGGGGTATAGTTCAGTAAGCCATGGCCCATCCACACAATGGAGCACTATGCTGCCATAAAGGGAGGGAAGATGCCTTCCTGTATTGCTGTGAGTAATCTCTAGCATGTTTTATTAAATAGAAAAAAAAAGATACAGTATGCTACCATTCATATAAGGAAAAGTATAACTATATATATATATATATAT